TTCTCATTCTCATTCTCATTTTTTTTCTCTTTCTTCATTTCAACCACACATTCTATCAATAAAATAATATTACACATAAACCTAAAAATTCTCCTTACTTTTTAACCACACATTCTTCCATCAATCACTATTCAAAAACACATTCTTTCACAAAAATGGGTGTCAAACACCCCCATAATTTTATTGAAAAGTGTGTGGTTGAAAATGAGTAGAAGAATGTGAATGAAAAAAATTATGTGGCTCAAATAGGGGCTAAAATTGTTTTATGTGACGTCATTTGTACTTTTTAACAAATTTGAAATTCTAGTTGCAATTATTTCTTTCTTTTCCAAAATTGAAATGACGGGGGGATTTGTGCAAGGAAGGAAAACAATAAGAACGTTTTGCGCCAATTACACTTATTCGACTATATAAATTGACGAAATGAAACATAAATGATCAACTCTGCAAGAAAAATGTTGAAATAAGGGTGCAAATGTTAAGTTTGCAACGATAAAGACAATTTACACAATAAGTGCAAACATCATGAAAAGATGTTACGATCCCTGTACTAAATCATCCCGTGTAATCAAAATGAACTTTTGAAATATGTCTTGGAAATTTTCATGAGTGTGTTCAATCTTAGTGATAAAAATGTTGTAAGGTCTTTTGTAAAAAAAAAAATATATATTTTTACGCAAGCCTGTTTGAGCCTTTTTTTTTTCAAAATGTATTTTGAAATAGTATTTGGATAAAGAACGTGTGGTTAAAAAATAAGAAAAAATTTTGAGTTTGCGTATAATATTATTTTATTGAAAAATGTGTGGTTAACAATAAGAGAAAAATGTATTTTGAAAATAATAGGAGATCAAACAAGACCGTAGACAAAAATGCAGTTGTAAGTTGTATTTTTTTTTTTTTTTTCAATTTATCTGCCATTTTTTAAAGTAACACAACTACAAACATAGGCGAAAAAAAAATCTGATTATAAGATGCTTTATTAAAATTGTTTAACACGAAAATTACAATCACAGTAAATCAATGCCACATTACATCAAATTATCTCAATGCAATGTTATCATCAACATAACATATTTATCATAATGTAACCATAAAAATGCAAGCTTCGTAAGCAGGACAAGAATGAAATTTACAATCGATGTAACTCAATGTGCTGCTACCATTAATGTAACTCATTATAACTCAATGTCACTAGAAGATTCGCAAGATACGCTTGTCAGATTTTTACAATCGTTATAATTGAAATGATATTATCATTATGAATCATTGCAGACTCAATAAAAAAAAAAATTACAATAGTAGTTGTATAATGTTTTTTCCCCTTTTCTTCTTCATACTCAAGATATATGATCATATATAACATATATTTTGTATATAATTTGCCACCATCCCAACCTCATTTCTCTTTTTTTTCACTTTTTTTGGTGATTTCCCAACTCATTTTTACACAATACTTTTAATTTGGAAAGCTTTAATGGGGATGAACGAGTTATGATCATCATTTTTTATTGTCATTTTACTACTACAAAAACTTATTTATTGAACTAAGTAATGGTGCATTACTGCAGTTGATGGATATTATTGAGAAAATAAAATATTTTAAATATTGATATGATGAGAAATATGTGGTTAGACAGTAAGGAAAAATTATTGATATGATGAAAAATATTATTTTATTGAAAAATGTGTGGTTGAAAATGAATTTTGAAAGCGTATACCAAACAGGGGCTAAGTTGCAGAAATTTATTATTTTTTTAACATTGAGCATATATAATATGGTATACACTCTCGACAGTACATTAAATTTTAAAATGGCAAAAAATAAAAAAATAAAATTCATAGTATTCAATGCTCTTTTCCATTTAGGGCTCGTTTGATTCTCATTATTGTAGAATGAAAATGAAAAATATAATCGTTATTGGACCCCATACAAAAGATAGAAAGTCAAAATTGATGACTTGATGTGATTGATAACGATCATATTTTTCATTTTTATCGATAAAAAATGAGAAACAAACAGATGCTAAGGAGCTGTTCTCTTTGTGTTTCAGTTTTATGTTTTGAGTTTTGAATTCATTTTGTATTTTGTGTTTTGAGTGTCTATTTTGAAATTTCTGAAAATACGTACTTTTTATCATTCTGAAAAACTGTTTCCGAAAACATAAATATGAAAAACGCGTTTATTTTGAAATTTTGAGATTTTTTTAATAATATTTTATTCAAAAAAATCTGATTATTCAATAAATTTTAATGTTTTAACGATTAGAAATTTACGTGTCATGACAATATAATCAGATAATGAACAACATACAAAATAAATCCACGGAGTCATGTGCCTTTTGTTTTATTTTAGTTTTAAATTTTACAATATTTCAAGTTGAAATAAATTAAGTCCATGTTTGATGGTCATTATTTGAAAACTTTTTTTTCTATATACTTATTTTAAATTACATTAGCAATAAAATATTTTACATGTAAACTCGAAGTTTTTCTTCATCTCTCAACCACATATTCTCCAAAAACTCATTATTCAAAACATTTTTTTTTTCAAAATAATGGGGCTAATTAAATAAAAGTTATTATTCTTAACAATAAGTAAACACGTCCGTGCCTTGAAAATTCACGTGAAACTTAGAATTTTTTTCCTATATACAAGACCGGAAAATTTTCATGTAAAATTTTGTTCTCACTTCACAAGGTAATTTTTTTCACAATGACTCGGAATAAATTGACAAGCTAACCTCTAGCTGCAGTACNCATAGATCTCTCCATCGACGTTTCAAGGCGCCATTGTCCTCCACCAGGGTGTAACCATCAGAACAGAACATTCCCAGTAAAAGAGTAGCTTGTGCCGCGGCATTGCCACCCAAAGATACACCTTTGAAACCTGATTGCTGAAGCTTTTCACATGTCCAAATCATCTATTTATCACATAAAAGCCATATTTGATGAGAGAAGGATTTGGCTTTACTCACTGAAGAGTGGATTAAGATGTCTTTCAGTTTCATTCACTTTCATTCACAATCAGTTGAAGGAAAAGGCAAAGAATAAAATGTCAAGAATACAAAAACAATAAGAATATGTCACATTGAAATGGCTGGTGCCATGATCTTGAAAGTAATTTCCTACCATGGAATTATGCATTTGGTTGTCATATTAGGAATGAGTCTGATCTCACCCCACTCCACTCAGATTAGTTCCATCAGCAGGACCACCAAAGGCAAAGAAGACATTCCCATAGAAGCACAAGTTAGACCAACACCATTCTTGCAACATTGATTAATAAGTACTCATGTCCAGTGTCCTAACCAAAACAATACTAAAATTTCAGCAAAATTTATAACTAAATTTCAAGTTCATTTGCCAAGAATAATAGAATAAACCAAAAATAGGCAAGACAAGTTTTCCACCAATCTCTAGCTTGCAATAACCAATTTGCGGGGACATAAAAAGCTCTTCTTATTTTCATAATTTTCCTAAAGTGTATCTTGCAAATAAACAAAGTAATACTTCCCCTACTAGTAACTCACACTTTAACTACTACGATGATCATAATTCCACTTGTGGTACAAACGCATTGCAAGTTTAATCTAGTTCCCTACCACATAGCTTCCAAGTCCACCAGTAAAAGAGTAAAAATATAATTTATACATCCAATGGAGAAATCAAAGCTTCACTTCCCTGTAGACTTAAAACTAGTAGACCAATATAATGCCACGAAGAAACCTGAATAGAATCTTGTTCTTAAAAGTTGCTACGCCCACACTTAAATACTCTACGCTCCTAATAAATGTTGCACCAGACCTTCCATTCCCCCTTGTAGAACATTCTAAAGTTCTTGAAATCTTTATAAATGAATAACCATGAAACGGTGTAACAAATAAAAAAAAGTCCACTGGAGGGCAGTGAAATACTCACAGGAACCATAAAGATAATACGGACAATGTATCGCTGATAAGTTGGCTCTATAATTCAAAAGATGCCTGTAAATGTGGAGTATTGCCAAAGCAATTGCCCCAATGGTTCGCTGATAAGTTGGCTCGGTATAATTCAAAAGATGCCTGTAAATGTGATGTGTTGCCATAGCAATTGCCCCAATGGTACAAGGCAACGCAATGAATATGTAGAATATAGGCCCCATTTGCAGCACATTGACTGCAGATCATTCACCAGAAAATGCCATTCTCTGGAAACCTGAACAACAAAAACCATCCATCAAAATTATGCCACAAAAAAAAAAAAAACATTATAATCAACTTAAAAATAAGTACGAACTTCAATTGATAGTAGTTTGGGCTCGTTGAACGAAATTTTTTCCCTAAATCTCTCAGAAACGATGAAAACCCTAACCCCAAATGTATATTTACTCCCACGGTGAAATAAAAATCTGAAAGAAGAAACATTAAATAAGTTCAAGTCATCAACTATTCAATAAAAATGCCACAATTCAGTTAAAAAACGAAGAGAAGAACAATGTAGAAATAGTTAAATAGAAGAAAAATAAAGGAGATTCTACCGATGGAGAGAATGGGTACCTCGAGACTGGATTTGGGAAGCCGGCGAGGCAGATTAGAGGGGAAGAACCCATTGGGGAAGAAGAAGGCGAAAATTGGTGGAAGGAGGCCAATCGGTAGCTCAGCCCAAGAGAGGAAGAATTTTGGGGAAATGGAAAATGACCGTTTTCCGGGTGACCGCGTTTTGTGAAGAAAACACTCGAAACACTCAAAACGGCTATTTGGACGTTTTGTGTTTTCTGTAGAATTTTTTTTTTTGTTTTCAAAAATTCATTTTCGAAAATGAGGAAGAGAATGCATTTTCATTGTTTTGAAAAATCGAAAATAGAAAACGGTTCGAAAACAGCAAAGAGGACATGGCCTAAATAATTCTTCTCCACTTGCAATTATTGGCCAACGAGTATTTACTCTTGACTTTCTATAAAAAATGAAGCTATTCTAATATTTTTTAAAGTAATTATCTATCTCAATAATTATATTAATCTTTCTTTATAATTCTTCTTAATTGTGTAAACCGATTTCATTTTTATAATAGTCCTCACTCATTCATTTCTTTCAACCTCGCTCATCTGACTTTTCTCTTGTTATCTCCTTCCTTTTTTGAACTTTTCTTTGCCAGAAGCATAAAAGTTTGCATAAAGAAAATAATTTTCATTCTCATATTATTAAAATTTTGCGGATTTTTCTTTCTGATATCCTTAGATTTTTTGTGGGTTTTCCGAAAAAGCGAAAATTATGGAGTCTGCAGCAAGTTCTGATACTTCGAATTCTGATTCATGGCCTTATTCATCAAGCAATCGAGGAAATTCCAGAATCCCTTTTTCTCCCCTTCGGTTCTTCAATTCACCTGTTTCATCTCTACTCGAATACTCCGGGATCCTCCGGGTTCGACCAGATTTCCACTCCGATGCCCAGCCCCTTATGTCCGAAGCCACCAACAATTCTGTTACAATCAATGAGAATAGACTGAATAGTACTAGTAATAGTAATGACAACAACGGGGAGGTTGCTATTCGGATAATCGGGTCAGGGGAGCAAGATAGAATTAGAGGACAGGGTAATCAAACTGGCTCGGGTTTGGGTTCGGAGGAGCCTACCGGGGATTTTGTTGATGATAATGGGAATGGTAGCAGCAGCAGTAGTAATGAAACCAACAGGGAAACGTCATCTTCTCAAAGATATGATATACAGCAGGTGGCGAGGTGGATTGAGCAGATTCTTCCCTTCGCTTTGCTTTTATTGATGATTTTCATCCGCCAGCACTTGCAAGGTAATTTTCGGAGTATGGGGGTTTGCTTTTAATTATTGTAATATTTTGACTTTGTTTATGTTTATCATAGTAGATGTTCTCAATATGCATCAAATTGATTCTGGCGAATTGTTTGTATATCATATTGCCGTTAAGGATGATGCCGATCATTTTTTGAACTTGATCACGAGTCATATCAGAAAATTTTATAGGATCCATATTCTAATGATTTTATCATGGTTCTAGTCTAATCTGAGTTGGAGTTCTGGTTGGGTTCAATCTAGGGTAGGTTAAATTAATTTACATTCAATTATGATTTTGCATCCACACTGACAGTTGTGCAAGTAAATGTTTTTCATTGTATTACGAGGTATCTAATTGATCATCGTGTTCAGGTGCCAGATTTTCCATTTCCTTTTTTATTTTTTATTTTCAGGAGGTCGTATTCGTTTCCCTTGTTAAATTTTAAACTTATGTTTATAATTGAATAGGGTAGAGGTAGTTAAAGATATTGATCCTCCTCTGTGAAACTCAAATAAGAGCATGATTGGGAAGTGTTTATAAACGATTTAATTTATAAATAGATAGAAATGAGTGACGGATAAATGGACACTAGTTGTGGGTCCCTCAAAATCAATGGATAAAAAAATGACTTAAATGTTTATAAATAGTTTATAAAAACGAGCGAAACATAGGCTAAGTAATTTCAGTGCCATATCTATTATGCTCCAACAATATGAAATTTCAGAGCAGATTTGACGTGGAGCTGTTAGGTACTTTTCCTGGAAGTGACCAAGGACAGGTGATTCGATGGTACAAATCTCGAAATTTTTAAGTGAGTGGATAAACCAATGAAAAGTAGCAACATTTTCTGCCATAACTGGTTGGTTGGAAGAAGGCTTTACCTTGTAACATTTTTCATGTGCATTGGTTTTAGCTGGTAAACTTCAGTATTTACTGCAAGAAGTTGCAAATAATGATGTTGGACAAGGGTTGCAGTATAGGCTGACCACCAAGTTACCAGCACTACGTTTTCTCAATTCTTTGCAAGAATATAAAATTGAAGGACAGCTGATGGAAGAAAATAACTTATCACATTACTGCTGGATAACAATTAGAACAAATGTTTATTTTTAAGATATTGCTATGATTTTATATGTGACAATGCTAAGAGGTTATTAACTGTATGTTTGGCAATGCTTAAATTATAAATTAAGATGGTCAAACATACTTATTATCTACTCATTTCATATGATCCACGACTATCAGCCACTTATTATTCACACATTTTGAAGGACCTACAAGTTATAATCACTTAAAAGCACTCATGAGCATGCTCTAAAATGCATTGAAGACTTGCCTGAGTTTTTGGGAGTTGGAATATGTTCATTGCTCTTGTTGTAATGCTACTGAGAACTTTGTTGAGATTTGTTGTTGATAAAGCCATAGTGTAGATTTGGGTATAGACTGCTATAGTCTCATTGCTTGTTATTCTCTTCTTTGAAATTGAATGCTATAGAAATTGAGTAAAATTTATTCAATGCCTTTTAATCTTTTCACAATAGCCCAAATTTATTGTTGAAATGCTACCGAGGACTTGTTGAAATTCATTGTCAGTAAAGCCACAGTAGTGTAGATATGGATATGGACTGATTTAGTCTCATTGCTTGTTATTCTCTTCTTTGAAATTGGATGGTATAGTGATTGAGTAAAGTTTATTCAATGCCTTTTGATCTTTCCGCGATAGCTCAACTTTATAATCTCCTAGAAAGTTTCGTTTTGATGCAATTTTTAAAGCATGGTTGACTTCTTTGTTTTTGACTTCTGGCCTAACATGATCACCGTAAACCACTGTTCACTTGGTTCTCTTTGAAAATTTATTTTTTGAGGAAAATAAGCAGCATAAGATTCAGTAACCATAAAATCATAGTTTTCCTTTCTGAGAGCTGTGGCTATCCCTTTATATCTTGTTTTCCTGGATTAGTTATTGCATATAGCTTGGTTTAACGTGGAATGAATTGTTATAGTGTTTGGATATCATTAGAGCTGTCCTTTTAATTTCCCACTGAACTCACACCTTCTTATTCTTCATCGTATCTTAACTGTTCTTCTATAACTGATGAAATTTTTAGGTAAAACTACTTCAGTGATGTGGAAACTGTATGAAAGAAACAAGCTTTTTACTTGTTTATCATAACTTGTGCAGCCTAATTACTTTGCTATTTGCATTCCATATCCTGATGTTATTAATGTTCTAGATAACATTAAACATCATCATGCTTGATCGTCTTTGTACAGAGAATCATGAAGAGATAACACATGCATAATCTTCCATGTCTATGAAATTAACTAGTCCCTTTTTTCTGTTATGGGTATTCTCGTGTTTTGACTGTCCTTCAAAACTTGATTTTGGTACTTATTCAAATTATTAGTTTTCTATTTGATGATTTAGGAGATTAAATAATATGTACCGTATAACTATTTGTATTTATAAATTCACATTTCTTTTCTTTGTGTATTAAACCCTCGACTTTTCTAAATATGGATCTGCAGGATTCTTTATTACAATTTGGATCACTGCTGGCTTGTTGAAGTCTAATGACATTCTTCGGAAGCAGACAGCTCTAAAGGTATGATGTGTGTTCCATATGCTGAGTAGTTTGTAGCATATTCATGTTAATTGTTTAAACTTTAAGCCATACCCCTTTTAGTAGAAGGAATAAAGATGACTATAGGAATACTTAAGAACAGCTAAACACCGACTTTTGCAGGGAGAGAGAAAGATTTCTGTCCTTGTTGGTTATTCATTTGCCTTCATAATTCATGTATCTGGAATCTACTGGTGGTGTCGGAATGATGATATTTTCTACCCTCTAATCATGATTCCTCCAAAGGTTATCCCACCATTCTGGAATGCAATTTTTATCATCTTGGTAAATGGTATGAATTCGTTGAGCTCTTTATTATTTTGGCAATAACTTCATTTCATCTATGTGATATACACACAGGGAACAAATAATTGATCATTTGAAACCTGTTTTGTGCATGCTGAATATGCATTGGTAGTTAAATACGAGATGGAAATCAAGTGCCTTACTGAATAGTATAATTTATACTTTGGTTATACTTGAGAGGCCAAGTTACATTTTATATGATCGTTGCATGGCTATAACTTCCCCCTCGTACTAAATTGCAAATGACTTTTTTTTCTCTCTCTTTTTCCTATTGGAAAATTTTCCTTATACCCAGTTTCTGTTCTGAAATTTTAAAATCCGTGTAACTTGTTTTCTGACATTTATTATAGTTTATATTTTGAGCACATGCAATTTTATTATATTTTTATGGTTTTTCTGGAAGGCAAGGGGTAACTGGAGTGGGAATCCTGTCAAGGGTACTTTAATTAGTCGTGTCCTTTAAATTTTTTCTGAAATTGTTTGTTTCAGATACAATGGTGCGGCAGACTGCAATGGTCTTGAAGTTGGTTCTGCTAATGTATTATAGGAATGGCAGGGGCCATAATTTCCGCAGACAGGTAATATGGTTAAAGTTGTTGTTAGTTCAGCAGGGTACTATGTAATTCCATAGAATTCTGATGTATGATTTGCATTCAGGGTCAAATGTTGACTCTAGTTGAGTACACGCTGCTTCTATACCGAGCACTGTTACCGACCCCTGTATGGTATAAATTCTTCTTGAACAAAGAAAATGGAAGTCTCTTTTCATCATTGACAACAGGGTTGTATTTAACTGTCAAGCTCACATCAATTGTTGAAAAGGTATTTCTTGCGTTCACTTGCTTTTTTATTATGAAGTATCTGGAACACACCATGTTTAATGAGATTTGTTTATCTTCTTCCACCTTGCTGTCAGGTCCAATCCTTCGTTGCTGCCTCGAAGGCATTATCGAGAAAGGAAGTACATTATGGGTCTTATGCGACATCAGAAGAGGTATAATGTTTCTTTTACTTTTAAATTTTGTGGAACTAGTTTTGTCCATATGGAACATACTGGTGTGAAAGCGGACCATATACCTTAATGCCGACTTCACAAGACAATTAGTGATGTCTTTGTTACACGGGAGCATACTAATTTGACAATGAACAAGCAATAGAACAAGAAAGAAAAGGGATCCAATAAGAGAAGAATTGATGGCAAAGAAGAAAATCAATTTATCATATATTCAAGGGTTGAATATTACAATGAATAAGCCCTCTATTTATATAGAAACTAATCTAAAATTAAAGGAACTTCTAATAAGCTATAACTTTATCAAAATATTAAATCTAACTGAATCTAATCTAAACGATCATAATATGAATTGAAAGCTTATTTTAAAATCCTATCTAACTACTAATTCTATTCTATCTTTATCTCCGTCACATTGGGTTTTAGACATAATTTTATCAGTATGGAGCCATCTGGTGTCAAAGTGGACAGAAGTAAGCCTTAATATTCCTACTGTATCTAACAATCAGGAAGATATTTAGCAAATCCTACTTTCCTTTGCGCTAACCTTTTGAGTTCACCTTGTTTGCTTCATTTTGTACTATCTTAGTTTTTCTCTAATGAATGAGGGTTACAAGGTTATTCAAGTCAACAATGTCAACTTATAATTTTGATCTGATAGTCCATATTCAATTGTCATTTTCTATGCCAAGTTTCCAACTAATGTTTTTGAATTTCTGTATAAGACATTAAGACTCCATAATGACTTTCCAGCATAAGAATGTATTTTTTTGTCGTTAATTGTTTATCTTATTAGCATTTTCAATTGTTAATGTCTTCTTGTAACAACACATTGGTTTTAGTAAGTAAATGGTCATTCACCCTGCACATGTAAAGACACAGGGTTACGTCCCATGCCACCTAAATTTCAGGATACTGGAATACTTGCCACGTTAAATCCCGAATAGGCAGCAAAATATCCAAGTTTTACCATTAAAAGTCTGCTGATCCAAGCCAGAACTACACTGAATGTCCCAATTCATAACCTATGTTCTTGAGTTCTTGGATTTTCTCTTGACGGCTATATCTCAGCATGCTTGGCCACATTTTGTTACTGTCATTAGCTATGTCCCTGCTGTCAAAGTTCATGGTCAAATCCGTAGTTTTCTTGTTTTTTGTTTTGAGTTGGCTGAGCATGAAGGAAATAAGAGCATATGTCCTCAAGAAGTGACATGCACCTCCTTGCTTGTAGTCTTCATGTCCTGGTTCATTTATTATGTTGAGGATTTTTATGATGCATACATCATCAGGAAACAGGAAAAGCATTTGGTAAACTAATATATAAATTACTAAACACAGGTGAATGTCGCAGGAGATCTGTGTGCTATATGCCAGGAGAAGATGCATGCCCCTATCTTGTTGCGCTGTAAACATATCTTCTGTGAAGACTGTGTTTCAGAATGGTTAGTTTTATGCACTTCGTGATTACATGTAATCTCGTGGAAAAATAATTATTATGTATGTTTTTGGTTGTACTTTTAATTTTTGTCCTTATTTATAATGCCTATTTGCATTGCATTCAATAGTAGAGTCAAGGGAGACATGAATCATTCAATCATTGTTAATCTCTTGGCTGTTACCAGGCAAGGTAGCAACCCCATGTCCCTATCCTAAATCAAATTTCCAAGGCATTCCCACCCATCTTATCTTTATCATCAGCTATCTTTACCACCAATTGGTGGAGGCTGATCTCTCTCTCTCTCTAATTTGTGGAATTGAATTACAAGATCTCTTAAAGCTCATTTTTGCTGGGCGTCACCTGTTGTAACCTCAAGAATGCACTCATTTTGAAAGCACTCATGGGTTAGAGTGGCAATATTTATCCAAATGGATGCTGAAGAAAGAAAGATTTCTATATGTGCCTACACTAAAGAATAGCTGGGGTAGGGAGCCTAATTTGCTTAGCTTGACCTTGCTGAAATTATGATTTTGGAATTTTGAGAATAGTTGAAAAAATTTTAGAGAACCGTCATATTTGCCATAATGAACGCCAAAATTTTGGGACTAACAATGAAAAAAACAAAATTGAGATATCCTTTCATGTCATGAAAACACAAGATAAATGTAAATCTTGAGTTAATGTATCTTATTTTATATAAGATAACATAGAAATATGGTAATCTCTCTTTGAAAGCTGAAATAGCTAACTAGATGATAACATCTGGTTTAATTGTTTGAACATACTTCAAATCCAGATAAAATTGTGATTTTGTTGAAAAATATTTTTTTCCCGTGGTTGGGAGTGCAACTCTGCTTGTAGAGTCAAATATTTGGTGTAGTTCGGCAAATAAATTTGGCAGCTTTCTTAATATGCACGAGTATATATTCTCACTTTTATATAGTTGCACCAATTTTACAGTGTGAGTAGACATTGGGAGTCAGTAAAATTCCCTGGAACCCAATGAATTATCTGCTCCCAAACTGGAATTGCCATCTCAGTCTGCTTAAGAAATAAATTTCGGTGTTATTACATCAAAAACTGATTGGTTTGGTCTCGCTCTGGGAGAACTAGGATGGCTGTCCATTTTTCTTTTCTTACAGCCCGTTTAACAGGGCTTTTAAAAGCCAAAACTCTTTCTAAGGCTAAGAAGCTATTTTTAGGTATGTTTTGATAAATTTCTGGAAGCGCTTCTTCTAGTTTGAAGTGTTTTTAGAGGAGGTTGACTTGGATAGCTTCCTCAAGAAGCTTTTCTATTAAAAAAAAAAAGAATAAGCCCCGCCAACGGTCATTTAGCCCCTGTTTGATGTCATTATTTGGGAAAAACAATGTTTTGAATATTAATATTAGGAGACTGCGTGGTTAAAAGGTAGGAAAAAAATTTGGATTTTTTAAGGGATAAAATCCCATATCGAATAAAGATGAAAATATAGACCAACTTATAAAGAATTGGACTACTCCTCTTAATAAGGTTGATCTTTTAATATGGAACCTCAAATCTTAACATGGTATAGAGCCCATTAAGTTCTAACGAGCGATTCGATCCCTCCAAAAGTGAGTATATGGATTTCAAGATTGGTCTGCTCAAACGAGCCACAATCTTGCGGGGGCATGTTAAGGGATAAATCTCGCTTTGAATAAAGATGAAAACATAGACCAACTTATAAAGAATTGGACTGATCCTCTTAATAAGGTTGACCTTTTAAGATGTAATCTCAAATTTTAACAGGATTTACGTGCAGAATATTGTGAATTTGTGATTGAAAATGAGTATATGAAAAAAAGAGTTTCAAATAATAGTTGTCAAACAGGGGTTTAATGTTTTTAGCTTTTTGAAGTACTTGAGAGTTTTGACTGGTAAATACATCTAATTACAGCGCAACAAGTCTACAACATAGCTCTTCCCCATTTTTGTCAATTGCACTTCTCAATTTCTTCTTCAGTTACGTTATGCATATAATTATTTATTTAATGCAGATTAATCGACATTTAAAGAAATTTGCATGTTCATCCCTTTACTATTCTTGAAGCCTTTTCATTATCTTTTACAATATTCTGCTAATTTGTTAATAGGAAGTCTAAAGATCATTTTACATTTTTCTAATCAGTTGGCATCACAATTTTTTTTTTTTTAATTCTTTTTTTTTTCAGGTTTGAAAGGGAAAGAACTTGCCCTTTGTGCAGGGCTCTTGTTAGACCTGCTGATCTTCGATCATTTGGGGACGGGTCGACAAGTCTTTTCTTCCAGTTATTCTAATACTCTCATTCTGTTCCAGAGCAACTTCTATCCCACAGTGGTTTCTTCTTGACCTGCTTTGCAAGAATCAAAGCATTTCTCCTGAGGAGTTGCTTTGTAAGATTGTGGCATTATTGGATCTCCCTCGGGAAGATTTCTACAAGGGAGCTACACAAATTGGAAGTGGATTGGCATTATATTTATATTATATATCTGCAAATAGGTTCAGTATAACTGTGGTGCCGTGACTTGAGAACTCTTGATACACGAGAGGATCTCTTGATTCCGTCTCAGTACATATGTTGTTTTTGGTTTTCGAAATACTGATAAGTTCTTTTTCTAAGGTGGTTGTGTTTTCCTAGCATTAAGTTTTCTTAACAAACACTTGCACCAATATATTTCCAACGGCTTCATCTAATCTGTGAGTTGCAGGGAAACAATAGTCTGAAGAATCTGTCAGCAAAATTAAAGAAAATATATGAGATCTATTCTTTATGTACTTGATGATTCTTTGATGAATTTGGTTGTCATGAACTTATATAGGTAAGCATGACATGTGGTCGATTTCTTTGTCGCGGGAACACCCTGAAGTTGAACTCAACCCTGTAGGTCGAAATTGGTTGGTGTTTCTTCGTTCTCCTATGTATGTTTGTGGTCATTTGTGTTGTAGTGTTGGTATTCAGAGGAGTGTCGAGGATGATGGATGTTGACATGCTTCCTCGAGTCCATGGGCAGTTTATCATTGAATTGAACACTGGACTTCTCAAAAAGAAAAGTGTATGTAAGAAAAAGCGTGGACCGCGTGTATTTAGTATTTAACCCCTTTTTGAGCCACATTATTTTTCTTATTCTTATTTTTTTACTCATTTTCAATCACACATTTTTTAATAAAATAATATTTTTCATCACAACAATAACTTTTCTTTCTTTTTTAACTATATATTCTCCATCACATCACTTCAAAAAAACCGCATTCTTTCATTTCAATATGCACCAAATACACTCTTATAGGGAACGGGGTTTGAACTTTTGACGTGGGTTGAAGAATGGTTTGACTACTGCTTAGCATGATTATAGGCCACTCTTTGAGACCTAATTTTTTGGGAAAATGTGTTTCATAATGTTTATTTTCGAAGAATACGTAGTTAAAAAAATAGGATTTTTTTTGAATTTACGTATAAAATTATTTTATGGGAGAATATGTAGTTGAAAATGAATTTTGAAAAAAAAAAAAACCGGCCTCAAATAGGGGCTAAATGTACAATTCCAACTGGATTTTATTTTTGGGACTGGGTTTGAGGTTCCTTTTTGAGAAAGGAGTGAATTTTTTATTTTTCATTTCCTAAAAAAAAAGGTTAGATTTTAGACAAATCTCAGAAAAATGGTCTAAAAATATTACCTTCTGGGTAGAGGTTAGGGTTTTTGCAAAAGAAAGGAATAATTTCTTATTATCGTCTAGATCGGTGATGATCTCTATTAATAATGTATATCACTATATAAAATATAATTAAGATGTACGGATATATTGTTCCATATCGAAATAGATTATTTTATTTGTATACCAAGTCTGTTACCGATTCTAATAAATTTTTTTTTATCTGTTATTTTAATTGCACTGATTTATCGTGGATATTTTATTCTAATTAGAATTTGGTTATTCGCTATGATGAATTAATTTCAAGATACAAGGCTTTCCTTCTTATGACAATATAGATTGTAAAATCAATCTTCGGTCCGATAAAAAGGAGACATGCAGTAGTATCTTAACCATAGATGTCATTCTCTCTAGTATTCCTTCGGAGAGGTCGATCTCATGAATTCAAATCTTTGTATATGAAATTGTATTAGAAATTGAGGGTCAAGATTCTTCCAAAACCTAACTAAGTTAATAAATGTTGAATGAGAGTATCTCCAATATACCCTTTAATTTTAAAGAGCACCTTGCATATAATAGAGATCCTATATAAATTCAAAGAGTGAGCAAATAAATGACAACACGTCAAATTGAATTAAAAAAAAAAAAAAAACAATTTTAGATAGTTGGTTTAGGTCTATGTGATTTAGGTTTTAACAGTTTTGAAAAGGAATCAATCCGTTTGAAAATTGTTTGGTTTAAGTTTCAATAGTTAAGATTGTTTGAAATCAAATCAAACTGTTCATACAATTTTTTTTTAAAAAAATTAATTATTTTACTCAAGATATATTTTTTATTAAATCAATTTATACCATAATAAATTTACTTGCTAGTCGGCTTCTATTGGTTCTTTAAGAGAATAATTAGGTATTTATGATTATATTTTTCTTATCTAAATAATGAAATTGCAAGTTTAAATTTTATATATAATCGAAGTTGTATTAATTTATTGGTTTAAGCTTGTATTGATACAAATATATTAGTGAAAGTTGCGAGTTTGACCCCTAAAATCACCTAGAAGGGGGGTGAATATGTGAGTAATGTGAAATTAAAAATTATCAATTAAAAGCAACAAATCACTTTTTAATTGTTCTAGATGTTTAGTTAATCAAATCAAGTTTATCCTATGTTGAATTGCCACAATAATAAGAAAACGGTAAATAACACAAGATTTGTTGACGGGAAAAATTCTCTACGGGATTAAAAACTCCAGGACCAAACCAATAACTTCCACTACAGACAGTAAGAACTTACAGTATAATTCAATTTTAAAAAATTCACAAGACTCGCTGATCTAATTTCTAAAATCTCCAAAACTCATTGGAACGTTTTCCACTTACACATTCCCAATTTTGTGGAAATGTCTATCTCCCATGAATCACAAAGAACAGCTTGTTCTTGTATTCTTCCCATGCTTCCGGTCCAACCTCCCTCAATCTTCTGCTACCTCTAAAAGGTATTGAGAAAGTACATTCCTGATTATATCTAAGAAGTAGGTGTTTTAAATTATATAATTTTAATATTTTCCCAACTTATAGTTGTTTGATCTCAAGAATCAAATATTTAATTTCAATGTTTGGATATGTTCTTGAATCTTTGAATGATATTATGAGGATGTAATATAATGATCAACCACACACAAAAATGTAGTGATCATTGGGTATTTAATATGGGGTATTTAGGTAGTATATGATAGATAGAACTCTTGAAAATCGCGAACTAGGGTTTATCGAAAAACACGGTTGCTCAAGCGA